GAGAATGACAAGAAAAAGATGTAAACAAACCTTTGTAAATGCTGAGGGGAGAGGGGTTCAAAGGTGAGGAGGGCAATGGGGAAAAAATCAGGATATATTATGTGTAAGTACAAATTTCTTATGATGAATGTGATCAATATGTATGACAAATGCATTCTAATAAAAATAAAGTTTAAAAAATCTGTCTAGAAGATGTTGCAAAATATATGAATCGTAATAAATACTACGCTAACTAGAAAGCTCCGGGGTATGAAAAAACAGGACCTAAAGATTTCATAACCACTGTTAACAGCACCATGATACCTACCATTAAACATATTGAAACCGGGATACTCTTTTAAAATTTAAGGCATACTATTAACATAGACAATCTGAGAGCCTTGGCTATGTTTGATGTGGCATTTGGTTAATATTTTTTTCTGCTAAGTTTTTTGGAGCTTTAGATCTTTTTTTTGACTTTTTGAGACAGGGTCTCACTTTGTAGGTTAGGCTGGCCTTGAACTCACTTTGTAGCCTAGGCTGGCCTCAAACTTGTACTGATCCTCCTGCCTCAGCCTCCCAAGTGCTGGGATTACAGGCATGCACCACCACACCCAGGTGAAACTGTATCTTGACTTAAATTTTCATTGAAGAATGTATTCATTAAGTGACTAAAATCTCTATGCCTTAATGTGATGGGGAAAACTGTATTTGATAAAACAGATCCAAACACTCATGTCACCAAACTGAGCATGAACAGAAGCGAGTACCTGCTTGGAAAGCACTTTCATGTGCCCTACACTTCCTCGGCAGTACGCTTCAAGGATGACGCCGAACTGTATGGAGACAGCAGGAATGTGCACCTCGGACCTGTGGACGTTAATATCCAAATGGTTTATCAACCGAACATTTCAAATCACCAAATAAAAACACTGACTCCTCCATTCTATTAAAAATACACTTACGATGACAACCAAAAGAGAGAGTCCCATCGTCTTATGCCTAATTATTAGTGATACAGTCAACTTTCCAATCTGACTTCAAAAAGTTACAGTATTTTATTATTTAATTCTTTATTCCAAGAAATCTAAAATTTTCATTTCTTACCTGATTTTCTTTTTGGAGCACAAGCTTGTTTTACTAATTTAAAGACAGCTAAGCTGAAATACAAAGCTATGAAATCTGACTGGCATCATGGAAATGACAAATGCCTCAATTGACTTCCATTCAGCTTCTTCCTTAACAAGGAGTATACTGCCCAGCCATAAAGAAGGATAAACGTGAGACTTTTACAGGTAAATGGA